GGGGGGGGGGGAGCTCGCAGGGCAAAATCGCGCGTAAGCGTTTGCTCGTGATAGTCTCTTTGCGTTTGTAAGTCACCGGTCGTGGGACAAAGTGTAACGCGCGGGGAGTGGAATATTGATTCAGTATGAAGCGTTTAATAAATATTTTTGTGCGCGACGCACAACGAGAGTGCGTGCGTGAAAGCCGCCGCGTTAGATAACAGCCGCGACGGGGCTTCCGCGAGTGTGCGACCAGAATCGTTGGGGTGTTGTGTGCATTTTGCAGATTGAAAACGCCCCATTGACGTACGTATTGCCATCATAATAGCGGAATTAATTTCGTCGCACATTATACGAATACACATCGCGCGCGTCGTTTCTCGCCGAGCCTTTTTAGGTGGTGACTCTCCGTCGGAGTGAAATTAAACATTACGCGCACGCACACATACACACACACACACACACACACACACACACACTCAGGCTGTGTTTCCATAATATATGCCTCGCTTGGCTACACGCGTCCTCTCCCTTTTGTTCCTTTCTCTTTTCTCTCCTTCTTCCCCTTTTCTCGCATTTACACAGTCGCGATCGAGAGCGCAAATTCCGCAAAGTTCAGCGCGTTATCCCACGAAGAGACGGCCGAGCTACGGCGGAACTTTTACTCATCAAAATTCCGCCATCAAATTCGAGTGATCAACATAATTCGCCACGAGTTCCCGCATCGTTATACGCGTCCACGTGTATAGTTAATAACGCACCACGAGCTCTTGCCTTAATTAACAAGCGTGTGCCAGTTTGCAATCGATTCCGCGCCGCCATTTTCTCGCGCGCCGAAGAGAAACGAGGAAAGAGAACGAGGAAAGAGAAACGTCGCGCGAGCGTTCTTCCTTTTCTGCCCCAAAGCCTCCCGACTTAGCATTGACAATCGGTAGAAAGCAAAATTAATTACATCGTTGACGTGAACGCGCGAACGCGACTCCTCTGCCCGGACGTTTTTGCCTCCCGGGGTCGGAAAAACTCGGGAGCGGGCAGGAGTAGGCGACGGGGAGGACTAGCGGCGGACAATAGTTTTGCCGTGTCGGAGCGCGGAAACGACTTGGAAATAAGCCTGAGTAATAATTTCGAGGAGATTGACGCGAGGCCCCGAGCGGCTCGAAGAAGAGCAACGCGGCGGCGGACGGCGCCAAGGAAGGCGGCCCGAGCGTTTTCGCGTCGTCGTCGCCAGCTAATTGACGGTGAATCAATCGTGTCCGCAGTCAACGGACGAACGCACCCGTGACATCAGCGACGAGACGAGGCGATGCATTCGATGCGGACGTCCGCTGATGTCCGATTTAGGACATTTGTATGTCTTTCGTATTCTAATGTATTGCACAATTTCACTTTGCAGATCGGCATCAACCCCGGACTGTTCGCGGCTTACAAGGGACACCACTATGCTGGGCCTGGGAACCATTTCTGTGAGTGACACCTCTTTCTACTTTGTCCCTGCGCTTTCGTGTCTTGTCGTCAGAAATTATTCGTTTCCCTTTTTCTTTTCTTCTACCTTTCGTCAAAATTCGCGTCGAGTTTCGAAGCGAAGGAGTTTAATATCGTGTCACATTGTAATTGAGGATAGGAGTTACGCGACAACGCGCGCTTTCAGGAGACAAGAAAAGGCAAGAAAATCGCAGACAATAAATAGCGGATAGAGAATGGAAGTGTTTCGCGAAGAGGGAGAGGGAGAGAAAAAGAGAGAGAGAGAGAGAGAGAGATACAGCGATATACTCCACGAAGTCGTAATAATAAGTGAGAAGTGAGCGAGCGAGAGGAGAGGAGAGTCTCGTCTCTCGTAGCCACTGACAGTACTACTCGGGCATGAATTCGTAATTCGAATTCCGAACATCCGAATAAACGAGCGCCGATGTGTCTGACAATCGCGGCGCTAACGAACCCACACCATTACCATAGTCTTGCAAGCGAGCCTCGCCTTTGCGTCTCGAAGTTTCCGCATAAAATTGCATAACGTTATACTCGCCCCGGGAAAATCGAGCGCGCTTTGCGCGGCCTCGTCTTAGGTGCGTGCGCGCGCGCGCGCGCTCTTGGAGGAGAGTAATTATCAAGTCAACGGGAAAATCAGAGTCGACGAAGAAAAAAGAGAAAGAGAGAGAGAGAGAGAGAGAGAGACGGGAGAGAACGGTCGGCTCCTCCTTATCCTTCCCGTCTTCCTTCCCCGGAGGCGATTATCGTTTAGAGCTCTGCACTTGCGAGGGTTCGAACTCGGAGGGACGAGAAAGAAAAAAAATCGATGATTCGTTTTATAAAAAGGAGCGAGAGAACGTTGAGATCGCGCGCGTAACAAGAGCGCGCCGAGCGTGGTTAGCGTGGACATGCTGTTTGATCAGCGCGCAATCAAGATCTCGCGTTCACAGCCGCCTGGGCAGTCTTGCTTCGTGTGGAAAAATACGAGCAGATGAAAATACGGGTCTTGCAAATCGTAAATAGGCTGGAACGTCATCCCCTTATCCACCAGCGTGTCATTACCAGCAGGGTGAAACTTTCCGCGTGCCAGGAAAATCCAGGGAGAGCTCGTTGAGAGTTTTCCCGTCGACCCCCATGAGCCCCCGCCGTCCGAGCCCTCATCTCGCGCGCTTCTCTCTCTCTCTCTCTCTCTCTCTCTTTTTTGCGCTCTCCTGCACCGGAAAGCCCGGGATCTGAAATCGCGGCGAAGCCTGGCTATCGATGGGCGCGCGAATCGCCGCAACGTGCATAAATCACCCGCGTGCGCTCACTCGCTCACTCGGCGTGAGCGTAAAACCTACGGCATTATACGGTTATAATGCGGCAACACCACATACATGCGTGTGTATACACCGCGTATTTATTTTTCCCTGGCTACGCTCGTAACGTCGATTAATACATTTTAATACGATTTATATGCAGCGCGATGTACCTATCTACATCGTAAAAATCTTCATCAATTTCACGCGGAGCCTCGCGCAACCCCCCCCGGGAGATGCGCACCAAAATAATTGGGTCTTCTGCCCGCGGCTCAATAATATTTTTATTAAAAGTAGAAGAGCACGCGAACGCTAACTAATCTCGGAATAAAAGGGAAAATTTGTACGGAATGCAAAAAGAAATAAGTGACATAGGGTTGCAAGTCGTAACGCAGAGCTCATCGTTTAAAGAGCTTCTGCTACGTTGACATGCGAGTGAGAAAGATTGAAAGAACAAGGTGAAACACCCGATTATTGATCGCCCTTAATCATTGACGCTCAGGAAAAGTCTGATCTTTCTTGTGGCCAACGACGGTTGTTTACATAGTTTTATCTGCAAAGTTCTCTTTTGAAACCATTGAGCGCAGACAAGAAGTTTAACTGCAGTGCTGATCGCATAAAAAACCAGATTTCTTTTTCTACACAAAGAAAATGTTGTAATAAGACGTTAGACGTGCGTAACATTACGAAACAATTGCCTATAGTCTGAAATCACAGAAATTTTGTTGTAATTTTTACCACAATGTGTTCTCCGTGCAAGGAATGTCAATGACTACATTGAGAGAAAAGATATCTGAGAAACAAAAAATATTTATTCGATGGACACTAATATTTACTTTTATACTAATATAAAATACTTTTTACATAAGAAAATATAAATTTTTTAAAAATCTTAGCTGTTCATATGGAAGCAATTCTTTATTCGATTTAACTAAGATTTAAATAAATAAAGTGAGTATATACCAATGCCTGGACACTAACACTAATACTTAATTTTGGAAATTCTTATTGTTTTGGCCTTAAAAACGGATATTTAAACTTTCACTATAAAGAATATATATGCGCATACATTAAATACATACATACATATATTTTATATTGAAACTTTAGAGATATTCGTATTTAAAAATTAGAACAAGAATATTCAGAGTTAGATATCAGCGTTATTAGTATCCAGACATTGGTACTTTCATCTTATGTAATTAACACTCATCGAATTAATATCTTTCACTTGAGGTGAAAGATATTTTTTTCTCTCATTGCATAAGAGAGAGGGCGTTAATAATCGAGTGTTTTGCCCAAATTGCCGATCAAAGATACGCGACGAAATGCAAGAAAAGTACGGCCTCTCTCTCGCTTTTCTTGGATTCATGCGCGCTTGTTCGAGCGACGAATAACGATTACTCCGGCCTATCTTCGATGCAACTGCCGAAGTGCACGCACTGCAAGCACGTGCGTATTAATGCGACCTCATGCACCGCGTATCGCTGCCGGGCGCCGATTTACGTGTACCTGCACGAGTCCGCGCTTATCAGCGGCGCGCGCTGCCGTACGCATACAACATGCTTAATGTAATGTAGCGTAATATATAATATAAACGCACGGCTACCTGCAGGTTTACGCGCCCGATTATTGCGCTGCCATAATAGCCCGGAGGCGTTTGCTTTCGTCGAAGTGTACCGCGATCAAATATTTGGCCGAACCGGCGTAATGACAATATAAGATATCGGGGAACACAAGTAAATGCGCGACGCGCCGCTGTTAGCGCGACAGCGTTAACAGCAAATGCAAACGGCAACGTTATTGTTATTTTATTTACACGCCCCGACCGCGAGCCGACGTTGCGTCCGAGAAAATGGAGACGCGGCGCCGCTTTTATCGTATTCCATTCCGCGACGGGATCTCCGAAATCCGAAGTGTGCTTCGCGCAGGCGTTCTCCGTCTCCCCTCGCTCGTTAATTTTGCGGTTATTCATTATTATATTATACTAGCCGAAGCAACCCGGCGTTGCCTGGACCATCGCAAAGTGTCAGCGGGGGTGAAATTAGGGGGAGGAGAGAGGTTGTTCAGGTCTCACGCAGCCTACATTTTTCGCGGGCTTCTAACTGTGCTCCAAATTTGCTCCAGATCGGCCAAAGTGTTCATCTTTTAGTTAATTTTTAGAGAACAGACAGAGAGATGTTCTATCTTATACATATATATACATACATTTTTCCACATGCAAACGATGTTTTATGGCGATTTACAACGCGACACCGTGTCATCGACAAGCACCGTTAAACAATTTTTCGTCTTCCTCCGTCTATCGCGACGAAAAATTTTCGGAAAGTTTGCGCACGTTTGCGCTGGTTTCTTCGATTTCGCCGCGGTCTCCTGGCGGATTTTCTCGATTTTCTTGGACAACCAGCGGCCCCGACGTTTTCGGAGATGAAACGAACGAGCGAATCCGACTTGCACGGCGTGTTTACGCCGCATCCAGGTCCTTATGCACGCAATTTCCGATGCGTGCACCGGCGGCGCACGCGCGAGCAACCCCGTGCGCGCGTGCATCCGCTCTCGGGCTTTAAATAAACAATTTTCGCGCTAACGGCCTGGCCGATGCCTATTACCTACGCACGCCACCCGCAGCGCTCATACGCAACCTTGTGTACAGGGTGTCCCGGATACAGCTTGTACAGCGGTTGCCTCCGGCCTCAGAAATCTTGGGCTGATTTGAGAGAGGTGAATGCTTCTCGTAGCTTTGAGCGCGCACACATCGACCTCCGCCGCGACTTTGGAATCCTTACGTTGAAACGAAGATTATCTCGACGATTCTTCTTGCGATTTAGACCGAAGATACAATCGGTCGGAGACATGGACGAAGCGCGTTTACTCATTCGTCAATGAGAGATAGGCTCTGTGCGGCACGCGGCGAGTGTCGAACGGAGCGTTACTCGAAATGAAAGAGCGCCAATGATTCCGAGACACCCGGTATCTGCACGCAAGCCTCGCTTGCGTGTGTCACGGGCACACGCGCGTACACACACGTGCGCGCGCGTCCGCGCGGGAGCACACGCTCGCGCACACACACACAAACACACGTACACACATACGCAACGGTGAAGTTAGGTGCACGCCGCTGGATTTTCCAGGGTTTTCCCAGGGTTGCGGTAGAGCGTTGAACCGGGTGGAGGGTGGGCGACGTTGTAAGGGTGGAAGGGAGAGCAGCAGCGAGCGAGCGGATGGTGGTGGCTGCTGAGGCGGGCGACGAGGAGGAGGAGGCAGAGGTGGAGGAGTTGGAGGCGGCATGGGGAAGGGGGACAGAGCGATGTAGAAAGAGAGAGAGAGAGAGCGTGAGCGAGAAAGAGAGGGGAAGAACATGCGACGAGGGAGGGAGAAACTATAATGAGTGGTGCGCGCGAGGGAGAGCGGGATAAAAAGGGGGGTAGGTTGGGGGTCGACGGTGGCGAGGAGGGTGGCTGGGCGGAACGGGGGAAAAAGCAGGGTTGGTACAGGGGTAAAAAGGTTGGAAGCTGTGGCAACTGCCGCGGCGGCGGCGGTGGTGGCGGCGGCGGCGGCGGCGAAGGAGGGGGGGTGAAACTCCGCTCTCGCGCTGCGGACGGCGGTGGAGGGGTATGCGGGGGTGGATCGAGCACGACGGGTCAATTTGAGTATCCGGGGAGCATAGGGGAGATGAGAGGGGTTGGCGGAAGGCGGGCGGA